TTCAGACAAAGCAGAAAATTACTAGAGTCTTACAGTCAAAACAACACAGGGAGGTTTTCATTTTCACCTTAAAAAGTCAAATAGATCTTCGTGACACACCTCTACAAAAAGCATCTTCGGGTCTAATCAGCCAAATGAATCTCTGGTGCACTGTGTTTACAACACCTGTCATCTGAAGTGTTGTGGTCTTCCCAGCATCCTGCTTCCAGGGAATTTAGAGAATGTTTTTCAAATTATCAAAAGGTATCTAGACATCTGCAAAACCCAGAGACTATGTTTTCTTGACCTTCAGGACAAAGGCAACTCACCCTGACGAAATGTTTGGTGTAAAACTCACCATTGTGCTTACCTGTGCAGAAGTGCCCACTGACTGTCTCTCAGGCAACAGGGAGATTGCAGTACTCTCCCTCACCCGTCAGGTGATATCAATCAAGCCAGGAAGGTATTCCAGGCAAAACAGTGTTGGGTGTTGTGGCTGTGCATGTCTAGCCCGGAGAAATATTTGGCTGAGAATCAGGAAGCCTGTTTAATCCACTGATTCTATTTGCTCTACACCTCTTCCTGATTTCCTTTAACGTGGAGAGTTTCCTGGGGCCCCACACAGCTGATTGTATGTAGGACAACTGTTAGAATCCTCTGTGCCAGATACAGACACATACCACATACGCACTACACTGAGGACAGCATTAGGTATGACCTGAAGACGGCTTCACAGCCGAAACGTTGTGTCTTCTCTCTTCTCTTTTCAGCATGGAATAAACCTGTTACTTGTTCCTTTGCATATCTAGTCCTGTAATAAACCTATTCATTGTTCCTTTGCATATCTAGTCCTGACTATCAGTACATCTGGGACTGTGCTGTGCAGTGCATTAAATCCTGTTTCTGGGGACAAAGTGGGGTCAGGTATGCATTTAGCATTTGGCAAAAACTGAGTAAGTGAAATTCTTGCACAGCAGATAGTACAACCTGAAATGTATGTACAATACATGGCATTTACTCAACATTTGCAAGAAGATACTGAACATCAGCATCAGAAAAATGTGTCCTCATCCGATTTCTCAGAAGCTCAGCAAGTCTGGGCCTGCTCAGTACTGGGATCAGAGCCCTCCAAGGAAATCCAGGTTGCCACTATAGGTGCTGTTCGTAGGCCAGTAGGTGAAGCTCTTCCCTCTGCCCAACTATGGTGATCACGGTAGGAGGTGCCTTGGTTTTATGTGAATCTTTAAACCAATGGCTACCCTCATGGCACTAGTTGTTAGAGCAGGTTGGTTAAATTCTACCCTGTGTGTCCTCCTGACAGGCTGAAGAATCCAAAAGCTTGATCCAAGTGAAGGCTCAGAGAGACACAAGAGCTGACATAGGCAGCTGGAGCAAGTGGGAGAGCGAAGGCAGGGGGGGACGACCAAAAAGGACAGGTGTTAGCAAGACAGTGAGTGCAGCTATCAGGGATGAAAGATAGGAGGCTCGGTTCTGTGCCACTGGCCTGGAGCTTAGCTGGACAGAGGGGGTGCTGACAGACAGAGCAGGTTCAATTGCTTACACTTATATAGAGCTTTTCTGGACACTCCACTCAAAGCTCTTTACAGGTAATGGGGATCCCCTCCATCACCACCAATGTGCAGCCCCACCTGGATGATGCAACAGCAGCCATAGTGCGCCAGAACGCTGCCCACACACCAGCTCTCAGTGGGGAGAAGAAAAAAGTGATGAAGCCAGTTAACGGGGATTATTAAGAGGCCATGATTGGTAATGGTCAATGGGAAATTGGGCCAGGACACCGGGGATATACCCCTAGTCTTTTTGAGAAATGCCCTGGGATTTTTAATGACCACAGAGAGTCAGGACCTTGCTTTAACGTCTCATCCGAAGGACGGGCTTGAGGCAGATGACGAAATACTTGAGCTGAGTTCAGGCTGAGTGTCCTTCTGCAAAGCAGGCTTGCTGTGCAAAGAGCACTACCCTGGTCAGAAGGCAGCTCAGTGACGGAGCACCGGTTCAGTGGCATGTAAGGGTTTAAATATCCTGGACTGATGGATTAATTGCCCATTCACTGGGAGCGGGCAGTTGGGACAATCATTCTGAATGAGTCCTCACAGCCCCAGGAGGTGTTCATATCCCAGTGGCAATGCACATGTTTTCCGTGGAGACTGAGGGGTGTGTACTCTGGCATGCCCGAGCATAACACATCATAGTATTCATTTTACATAGCAAGGGCTCTCAAACCTAACACTGCAGAGATGTTATCCTACATGTTTTCAGCTCTCCACAGTGTAACTGCACTAATTACAGCCTTACCTTGAGCTGTTTAACAGATGTTTTAGATGATTGAGGTGTGTGCTGAGCTAAAGCATCTTGTAAAACCTGCTGGCCAGCACAAAAGATCGCAAACCTCAGGGGAGAAAAAGTTCTTTGCTCACTATAATCTAGGACGGGTGGGGACTGAGATGTACTAAATCCTAAACGGGCACAAAAAAGGATATTGTTTTGACAAAATCAAGAGAGCATGCCAATCACACACTTATCTGATTTACACTCCCTGTTTTGCTAGTAAAAAAGAAAAAGCAGAGCTGTGGGATTCATATATCTGCCTGTCACAACCTGAAGGATAATGGGTGAATGGATTTAGCATATTCAAACATTCAGTTTCTACAAAAAGAAAGCAGGCAGGTTTTGCAATCCATTGTGAGGGCTCCTTTACTCTCACAAGAGGGAGGGAACTACTCTACTGTATTAAACTATTATTCTACGGTCTTGCACTGTTCTACATACTCCTGTATTGTGTTGTATTATTGAGTACTGCAATGTATTATGTATGCTGCTACTATTGTGTAGTATTGTCCTGTTTTTTACAAAAACGTTGGCAATAGCTGTATAAAATCATGCCAGTAAACGTGTTGTGAGTTTGAATTTCAAACCTGCAGGAAAGCTGTTCCATAGTTTGAGAGTTTGAAACTCGTCATGTTACATGTTATATTTTGCCCATTCCCCACTCCTTTGCCATCGCTATCAGAATTTTGCAGCTTTACCCTTTTGCTGTTGTTTGAGAAAGCAGTATGTTGGCTAGGGACAACAAGAATACATTGTTAGCATATGATAAAGGAGGTACATGAGGCGGTGGTCCATTGAGAAGTTCAGCATCAAATCAGGACTAGATTTGTCCCTCCAGCCCAAACGTAAACCAGACCAATGTGGACCAAACTGTGCTCTTTTTTTGGGGGGGGCTTTGACAAAATAAACGCCACCATCCCCTTAAAGAAGAATCACTACGTTGCTTTTCTTCACTTAGACGAGGCAAGGCACAAGCCAGTCGTGCTGAGACAGACATCCTCACAGAGGATAAGGAGCGAGGAAGAGGAAAGCATGTGCAAAATTTAAATGGCTGGTAAAGGGTGAGTGGGAAGATGCTATACTCTCTCGTTGCAGGAAAGTTGTGATGAATCGACACCTGCCAAATGTAACAGAACTGGACACTGTGGAAACTTTAATTAAGGCTTTGTTCTCAGGTGCCTCCCACAAGCTGTTTGAATTATTTCACTCCATGTGTATGAGATGCCAAGCTCTGTGGAGTGTGGGCCCAGGATCCTCCCTCATTGAAGATTTGGATGTGCCGAAGTCAAAGAGGTCTCCCAGCATTTTAAAAACATGAATAAAATAGCACAGTTTTCTAAACAAAAAGTCTAACCGATAGACCTACCCAGTTCCCTTTAAATCCGTCTAACCATTTTTTCAACAGGGAAGAACACATGCTAATTACTGCCTTTGTCCTTTTACTATTGTTACAATTGTTTGTGTAGAATGATCGTCCCAATTTTAGTACTGCTCCATTTTATACTTTTGAGTTAATTGGAATAAATTATTACCACAATACCAGGTTTCCAGACTGTCCAAAAAATGTCTTAATTCAACAGACTGTTGCCATGGTTTCTGATTTTAATCGAAATAGAATGTGTATCTGCAAGGAAGCAGAGTTGTCTGTAATTAATTCTACAATGAGGCCTCTTGACCACACCTTGCTGAAAGGCCTTTGACTTCAATCTTTATAACTAGAACAGGCAGCAGCATTTTTTTAAATATTGTGAAGGCTGGTTTTTGATCGTTGAGGTCTTTAAAAATGTGCTGGCACTTTCTGACACCGTTAGTAACCGCAGTCTCCTGGCTAAACTCCATTGTCAATCTGGCCAAACTACATTCAACCCAGAATTCAACTGGTGATGTAATATCTCACGTCTCCGCCTAATCTCTTGCACAATGGGACAGAATGGCAGTCGTGAGTCACCTAGGTGGGGGATATGCATATACACTACGTCACCGGTGCGTGAGATGGGACCCCTCCCTTTTGAACTTTGAGATTGATTTGGGATGAAAAGAAAAATGCCAGGCCTACTACTATTTTAGAAAAAGAGGTGTGTGTGGTTGTTTGCCATCATGATGTAAATAGCCTAATATACCTGAGAGGCCCTCAGGACAGGTGTGCTTAGCATTCACTATGTGTTACTCCCTCAGTGATTTGTAACCTGACAGATCTAAGAAAATGCAGTAATGAGGGAGATGAGTACAGCACAGCCCTCGGAAGATGAGGCTCACCGTTTCTCTAATGTGATTAGTGTCTGCAGTGTTAATGTACAGCAACACGCTACAGAAGACTGACTTTGCAAGCTGAGAGCATGAAACCCTAGCT